TAATTTTTTTTATTTTATAAAAGACTGCCATATTTTTTTATAAATTTTTTTTTTAGAAAATCGCTGCAGCGGCAGCGATCTTTGAATAAAAACTTAACAGTGTCAGTATTTGTCCAATAAAAATCGCTCCGTCGGAAGGGATTTTGTCCTCTTGGTAAAATAAAAATTTGATGTATCGTTTATGTTTCTCAAAAGAAAAAAGTTACCTTTTGACTTCAAATTCATGTTTAGACAATGAAAAGCAACAATAAAGAGAAGGCTAAAACAAAATGTCTGTCAACTAATTTAGTTGTACTCTGTAGAAAAGAAATATATTTTCTAAAAAATATTTCTCATTTTCTCTAATGTAGTTGTATTATAATTCTAACTTGGTAACGTAATGTAATTCTACGGGTTTTAAAATTTTTAATGTGCAGGGGAAAAATTAATGAGACACAATTATTATGTTAATACTTGTATGAATCTCTTTTTATTCTGAATAAATTTGTGTGGGTTTTTTTCTCTTGATATGGTTCACTATCACATTTATATGGTGAATTGTTCATTTCCTCTTTTGGATGTTGATTGGTTGATCGAATCACGTTAAATGTTTGTGTCTTTTGATACATTTCCTCTTTCAGTGTAGATTATGCCGCAGTGAATTTGAATCTCTTTAAAAAGAGCGAAATATCGTGTCTCAGCCTAAAAATTTGTTTATACATTTTTGTTCATTTTATATCAACTGTAATTTATTGTATTTGTGATATATTACACCAACACTATCTAAATTTCTGTAACCTGATATTTCATATTTGTATTGTATGGTGAAAATGTCTGCAATTCCAAGCCTTGAAGAGTTGAAGTTAACATATGCACCAACATAGATTGTGATGCATCAGTGAGAGTGTTTCACGCTTAATCAGAAGTTAAGCATGACTAATAAATAGTTATTAGATTTGGATCGGAGGGGTGTTAGTTATTCCGTTAGCTTGTACTACTCCTTAACTTTAATCCTAATTTCTAGTGTACAGTTACCATTATGGGTGTAAAAAAAGAGTTTTTTTTTCATGTTAGATGACGCCTATGGTTTATAATAGACAAAAGTACTTTGTAAGGATTTTCGATGATCGATAACATGAGTCATGGTTGATACAAAATTGCTTTTGGTTATGAAGAAAACAACAAGCCTCCTAAATTAATATTTAACGACTGAAATACCGCAAATGTTATACAATAAATTATCCACTATAAAGTAAACAAACACACATACAAATATATGGTTTATTTAGATAGACACACATGCATATTCGCCCCACGTAGCGGTAAGCATTCTAATAAGGCTAATTGATCGGATGAAGAATTGCGAAAAAATGAAAATTACAGAATTTTCACTAGTTTACGAGTTAATTATTTAAATATACTCTAGTTTGCCATATTACGTATTTTATTAGATTTTGATGCCTCCAAATATGTCTAAATACATGTATCTCGGATATAAAGAGTCAAATTTAGGTGTAATCTATTCTAGTTACATTATATCCAAGGCGAATTCGCATGTGACTGAGATACATAACAATTTCACTCGCCTCTGGTAAATGTGAATCACTCCATATATATATATATATATATATACCGATGCGATATGCAAAACAGAATAATTTGACAGTATCAATAGGTTCAGCAAGATCCAGTAAATCCATAAATAAAATATGAATTATCAAGTACTGTTGGATAGGTTTGAAGAAGTTGAAGACAAAAGAAAAATACTTCAAGTTACTTTTGATGGCCAATCAATCTTTTTTAATTCTTGGTTTTCTAATAGAAAGTTTGAGGCTGGCAACTCACCTTTCTTCTGGATTAGCATGTTTTTAAATTATTTCAACATCTTCATTTGTAATATGATCATGGAGTGTATTACAAACTCCACGATGATCAGAAAATACTTAATTTTCTCTAGCTCCTACTTTCTTTTAGTTAATATCTCAGATGATCACTCAACTAATGATTCTAAGTCACTCAACTTTCTTTTATAACCATAAAGTCACCCAAATTCTTTTCGGACTTTATTTGAAAAAAATTTATAATTGAGTGACTTTATGGTTAAAAGCAAAATTATGACTTTTATGTAAGAGGAAGACTAGTTTTGAAAATAAATAAATTAAAAGGGAATTCTAGTTTATGGTGATACCACATAGACGGGCCCAAAGTTCTCTTTTATATATGATATATATGATTAATTTAATCTCTAACTATATAAAGTATAAATTTTATTTCAAACTTAATTTTTAATTTCACTTTTTATGTTTTTCCAAAAAAAAAATTTAACAATTGAACAAACTTAAGCTTTCCTAGTTAGTAATGTCATTTGATAGTCTTATTATTTCAAATTGCTAATTCAAAGAAAAAAATTGTGTTGTACAAGTTTGACAGATACAGAGATAAGATTTTTATGGTTAATTCTTCCATACATGTTGACAAACTCAACAATTATAAATATTCTATAACTTAAAAAAAAATATATTGAAATTTGATGAGACAAAATATAAGTAGCTAAGAGTTGTAAGAAATGAGTGATGAAGCAACATCATCTCTGATGGATCTTCCATCTCCAATCTTGTTACAAATTATCTCTACATTACCTCCTACCTCACTATTATATGTCAAAGCGTCTCCAAAACTTTTCTAAACCTATCCTTAGATTTTGAATTTTTAAAATTGTCACGTTCAACATCTCCAACCAACATCATCTTCATCACCAATTCAACTCTAATAGGACCAACACCTTAAAGTTTTTGAAATTCATAGTCGATTATAACTTTGATCATGATTTAAATGTTCACCTTGATCTGCAACTTTACTTTCGTGTTGATCCGGTTTTCCTTGTTGGTCCTTATCTTGGGCCCTTCTCTAGGGCCCCTTATGGGTCCTAGCTGGTGTAGTACCTGGACGTTAAATCCCTAAACATAGTCGTCTAGGTCTTAGGAACATCCTTACTAGTTTCAAACAAAATGAACAAGTAAAACTCACTCAAACACATAAGAACACACAAGCACTATCTAAGACATATCTTCCGAACGTCATGGACGTTTGACCTCCAAACTTAATCAAACTTCACACACTGCCTAAGAACATCAATATAACTCGTTTTACCTCAAAATTAACTCAAGAAACATTCATGAAACTGTAGTTCACCTTATTTCGTTTTAGGGTGTTACAACCAACATAGATTGTGGTGCACCGGTTGAAGTGCTTCACCTTTAACCAAAGTTTAAGCATGATTAATAAATAGTTATTGGATTTGGATCAGAGGGGTGTTAGTTATCCCGTTAGCTTGTACTCCTCCTTAACGTTAATCCTAGTGTATAGTTAGACCATAATGGGTGTAGAAAAAAGAGTTTTTTTCCATGTTAGATGATGCCTATGATTTATAAAAGACAAAAGTACTTTGTAAGGATTTTCGATGATCGATAACATGAGTCATGGTTGGTACAAAATTTCTTTTGGTTATGAAGAAAACAACAAGCCTCATAAATTAATATTTATCGACTGAAATACGGCAAAAATAAATGTATCTAAGTGTAAAATATGTAGGAAACTCATAATTAGTGGTAAGATACGTAATATTTGAAAGTGAATTTAACAATAGTATATATGATAGTGAAGTATGTCTAATAATTGAGTTGGGATGGTAAAATGATTGAGGAGTTTGTTCCAAGGCACTTAGCGATACGATAGGCAAAGCAAAACCATTTGGCAGTATCAATAGGTTCAATAAGATCCAATAAATCCATAAAGAAAATATGAATTAATTATCAAGTATTGTTGGATAGGTCTGAAGGAGATTAAGACAAGAGAAAAATATTTTAAGTTACTTTTGATGGACAATCAATCCTTTTTAATTCATGTTTTTCTAATAGAAAGTTTGAGGATGATAACTCAGTTTCTTCCCGATTGACATGTTTTTACATTATTTAAGCATCTTCATTTGTAATATGATCATGGAGCGTATTACAAATCCTACCATTATCAGAAAATACTTAGTTTTCTCTAGCTCCTATTTTCTTCGAGTTAATATCTTAGATAATCACTCAACTAATGGTTTTTTTTCACAGAAAGTCACTCAACTTTCTTTAGTAACCATAAGGCCACCAACTATGAATTCTTTTCATAGAAAGTCACTCAACAGGAGATGAGTATTTCATTGTTCTTTTTTAAAAAAATTATTTAAAACCAAAATTGTATTTCAACAAAATTTTAAAAAAGTGTTTCAACAAAATTTAATAAATAATTAAATGAGCATGTTGTTATTTTTTTTAAAATTAGCTTTAAACAAAAAATGTATTTTAACAAAATTTAATTTTAAAAAATTATTTAAATTGTTTGTGTAACTTTCTAAGTGAAATATCAATACTTGAATGACTTTATTAGTAATAAATCCATAGTTGAGTGACTTTAAGGTTAAAAGAGAAAGTTTAGTGATTTTTTGTAAAAAAACTATTAGTTGAGTGACATTCTAAGAAAAAAATTCACAATTGAGTGAATTTAAGGTTAAAAGCAAAAGTTAAGTGACTTTTTTTTAAAGGAACTTTTAGTTGAGTGACCATTTAAGATCGCAATTCTTCATTAAAATAGCAACTTTTCATAAAATCACAACTCTTATCAATTATGAAAATTGTGACTTTTATGAAAGAGAAATGCTAGTTTTGAAAATAAATAAATTAAAAGAAAATTCGTATGGTGACGCCACATAGAGAGGCCCAAAGTTTTCTTTTATACATGATTACTTTAAACTCTAACTATACAAAGTATAAATTTTATTTCAACCTTAATTTTTAATTTCACTTTTTAAGTTTTACCAATAAAAAAAATATTAACAATTGAACAAACTTAAGCTTTCCTAGTTGGTAATGTCATTTGATAGTCTTATTATTTCAAATTGCTAATTAAAAAGAAAAAAAAATTGTGTTATTACAAGTTTGACAGATACATATACAAAGATAAGATTTATGTGGTTGATTTCAGTTTCAAAAAAAAAAAGATTTATGTGGTTCATTCTTCCATACTTGTTGACAAACTCAACAATTATTAAGTTTTCTGTAGTATTGCATAACTTGATAAAAATATTGAAATTTGATGAGACAAAAAAATATAAGAGTTGTAAGAAATGAGTGATGAAGCAACATTATCTCTGATGGATCTTCCATCTCCAATCTTGTTACGAATTCTCTCTACATTACCTCCTACCACACTATTATACGTCAAAACCCTCTCCAAAACTCTTCTAAACCTAACCTTAGATTCCGAATTTTTAAAGTTGTCACGTTCATCATCTCCAGCCATCATCATCATCCACCAATTCAACTCTAATAGGACCAACACCTTAAAGTTTTTGAAATTCGTAGTCGATTATAACTTTGATCATGATCCAATTGGTGATGTTGATCTACAGCTTCACTTTCCTGTTGTTCAGTTTTTCCTTGTTGGATCAGTTCATGGTTTTGTTTGTTTTAATTACTTTTTCGATAGTGTTGACAGTATTTACATCCTCAATCCAACAACAAGAGAATATATCGTCCTTCGTGAGCCACAACGGGTAAGAAAGTGGCCTAATATAGTAAGGTATGGCTTCGGTTTTGATCCTGTTAAGTTAGAGTACAAAGTGGTTAGAATCTATCAAGAGGAAATTCGCGATGATGATACTAATGGTTCTCGTTATTACAAGTCTGAAGCTCAAGTTTACACAATTGGGAAAGGGTATTGGAGAAGTTGTGCAGGGCATGTTATGTTCTGGTTTGGATGTTGGGTAGAGGGGGTGAATTTATATGGAAAGATTCATTGGTTGGTTTATGATGCTAATAGAAATGAGTTAATATGTTCGTTTAATTTGGAGAATGAGTTGTTTGAATCATTCCCAACTGCTCCAGGTTACAATAAGGAAATTTGTCCAAATCTACGAAGTTTGGGGGGTTTTGGTCGTTGTCTATGTGTTTGTGATAATAATGCAGATACTCATTTTGAGGTATGGGTGATGAAAGAATACGGAGTTACCGATTCATGGGTTAAACAGATTGTCATAAACATAACTCCTGAATGCAACAATTATTGGTTGTGCTATGAAATGATTAATCTGGTGATAGTTTTGGATGACGGAGAAGTGTTGTTCTTGTGGCGCGATGATTTCTTGTTCTTGCACCATCCTGTGAAGAACACATTGAAAAGGGTTGATGTCTGTGATGGCAACTTTGTGGCATCTGTGTATGTATCAAACTCTTTATCTCTCAAAAATTTTAAAGCAGAGGTTGTAAATATCTTTTAGATATCTTGTACTACTAGAGTATTGTATATTTTTTTTTATATCCTTGGCTAACAATAACATACCATCATGTTATTTGAGGGAAAAGTTGTTTGTACAAATCTTCAAGTAATCTGCGTGGAGAATTTGAGCAACATTGAAAAAAAGAGTTGAAATTTTCAGAAAATAACAAAGTATTGCTGAGAGAGAAATATTGCAATGTAATCAAAGGAAAATATTCAAAAAAATAATGTAATGAATGAGTTTTATTTGTAAGTTGCTAATATTCCTTAGGGAAAAGGGTCTGATATACCCCTCAACTTTGTGATTTAGAGTTGATATACCCCTCGTTATAAAAGTGGCTCATATATACCCCTACTTGTAAACAAATGACTCACATATACCCTTTTCTTCTAACGGAAATAAAAAAAAAATTTAATCTAAATTTTTATCATTTTTTTCTTAAAAATATAATCTCATATGAGTAAATTTAATCCTCGTCAAACATATTTTTTTTGACTTTTTTTGTTTCAATGACTAATTTATAATTATTATTTTGATAATCAAATTTATTTATGTTTCACTAATTCTTGTAAAAACTTATTGTAGATGACCAAATTCTTTCTTCGAATATGAAATTAAATTACAATACACACAAAAAAATAGTTTAAATTTTTTTCTTTAAACTAAGGAATGAAAAAAAAAAATAAGAATAAGAAACTCAAATAATAATAATAAAAGAAGTCAAAAAATTATGTATGAAAAAATTAAAATATACATTGAACTTTTATAGAAGAATCATATATACCCCTAAATAATTTCTTTAAAAAAATTAGAAGTAATAAATATAAATTTAAAACTAATTTTTTAACTTCCGTTGAATGAAGGGTATATGTGAGCCATGTTGTAACGGCAGGGGTATATGTGAGCCGTTTGTATAACGGTAAGGGCATATATGAGCCAGTTTTATAACGAGGGGTATATCAGCTCCAAATGACAAAGTTGAGGGGTATATCAGACCCTTTTCCCTATTCCTTATTTGGTACTCTTGTTACTTTAGATTACAAAAAATTCCAAATATATCATTGAGTTTTTAGAGAAAAAAAAACTGAACGAAATGTCTATTGGTGCCACTTTCGAAAGATGAGTTTGGATCTAACTCAATTTCAAAATTACCTGATGAATCTTGAGAATTACTTAATCTCAAAAACTATTTGTAAATAATTCTGTTGATTTATATGACCGGCACTAAATCAAAGTGCCCGTTGTTGCCAGTTATGAAGATAGATTTTGGGTATAACTCAACCTTAAAAGTAAAAATAACTTTTCAAAATTCTCGAAACTCCTAATGGAAGGATGGACAATATACCATGGAACTCAACAATAAATTGAAATTACTATAACTAACTCTCATACCAAATAAATATACATTGCGAAAAACTCAAATTCAAATACTAACTCACAAAGAGAAAAAATATTCAATCCATATAACAAGATCAATTTTTCAATCCTTCTTAGGGTGTTAAACTTCTTTAACACCACTTACCTCAAAAATCAGTAAAATTATTAATGGGGGACAAGTTCTCATATCCCACATGTTGTTCACTGAGTCAGACAAATAGCTTTGAAATGTATCAGGATGAACTGGATTGGAAATATCGGAACGAATATTCGATTTTGTTCTATCCCATTATATATCATAATGGAATTGGAATGAATCGAAATGGAACGGGATGAGATAAATGGAACGTCACTTTTAGTTATTTCAAAATCGATTAATTTTTTTTTTAGTTATTTTGATTTTTTGAAATACGAAAATATGAATACTTTTTATTTTTCTAAGTTTAAATTATAAGTTTTTAAATTTATAATGTAATTCTTTACTTAAGTTTATTTTAAAGATAGTTTTTTTTAAAGATTTTTACTTATAAGTTTACAAGTCAAGTTATAAGTTTTCAAGATTTGAATCTTTTGAAGTTTATAAGCTATTACTTATTAATATATTATAACTTATAGGTTATATTTCTAATTTGTGATTTAAATAACTTAACTTTGTAATTTTAAAATAAATAAATAAATATAAGAATAAAAGATTACACAAATTAAAAAATATAAAATATAAAGTATAAATATATAATATAAATTAATTAATAAATAATAATTAATCGGAAACCGAACCAACACCGAACCAGACCGGCACCTAACCATACCAGATCGGGATTCGGATAAATCGATACTGGTACACCGATATCAAATCACGATTATATTTCGTTTCATGTACCGATTCATGGTGTCTCGTTCCGTCTCGTAGGCAATCGAATCGGTGCGAACTGAAACGGTATAGATTCGTTGCCCAGTCTTACTTAAGAGTAACTTAACAAAAAACTTTCTGTAAATAGTTAGGTTTATTTATATGACCCATTGGTGCCACTTATGAATATGGATTTTGGATATAACTCAATCTCAAAAAATGAGAATGATTTTTCAAAAATCTGAAGTATTCCTTAACGGGAGCATGCACAATATACCATGGAGTTCAATAATAAATCAAATCTACTTTAACGGACTTTGATACCAAGTAAATATATAGAAAAAGAAATTTTTTCTAAATACTCCCCCTATCCCTATTTACTTGTCCATATTTCCTCTTTAAATGTCCCTAGTTACTTGTCCATTTTTACAAATCAAGAAAGGATTTAAAAAAATTTCTATTATACCCTCATTTAAACTTCTTGAAAATTTCTAAGTTTTAATTCATCCTTTTTGAAATAATATTTAATAAGGGTAAAATTATAACTTTACCATGTTAATTATTGTTATCTTAATATGTATGTCTTTTCTAAAGTGCACAATTAAATAGGAATAGAGGGAGTATCTATAAGGATATTAATTTTCTATTTTTTTTAATGTTGCACTTAATTCTCATGTCCCGCATGATGTTCACTAAGTTAAAACAATTAACTTTGAAATTTGATCAAAATACAGAAATTTCTCTCTTTTAGGTTTGTGATTTTTCGATGAAATTTACAAAAACTTTTTTAAGTAGTTGTGATTTTTCCAACTGGTATAAGAAAGAGTTGTGGTATAATAAAGAGTTTGACTTTTTAGGGGTATGATTTCTCGGAATGGTCAAGAAAATACTTGTTTACGCAACTCTTTGTTGATTATAAGCTAATCAATTGGTGATTCTTAAAATTGATTTTAACTTCCATTTAGATATTTTAATTAAATTTTGTTCATTTTATATATTTTATGTAAGTTTTTGCTATGCTATTTTCACATTTTTTGCTTACAAGGCATACTGAGTATCATACACATACTTATTGCGTGTAAAAGTCTTATTCACAATTTTTTTAAAAGAAATTCTCCATTTAAATCTATGATAAAATAAATTTAGTAATGTCACAAATAAAAAAGTAAATTTTAGCTCATAAAATTTTTCAAAAGTTTAAATTTTAACATTATGAAATAGTAATCTAATTCTTTTTCATGAATCATAAGATTTGAAAAAAAAATTTGTACTATTAATCAATAACTTAAAAGTAAAAAAAAAATACTATACTTTGTAAGATAATTTTTTCAAACTAATTAAGTTCTTTTGAAAATTTGATATGAATAGAAACAAGACAGAAGTTGGAGTTGGTGGGGGCGGAGAAGAGGATCTGGTGACCGGTGGGGTGGAGGAATGGTTGCGATTGGGGTGGAGAGGAAGATCTGATGGCTGGTAGGGTGGAAGAGTTGTAGGGGTTGGGGTGGGGGTGGGTGGAGAAGGAAACTGGGTCGGGTGGGGTGAAGAAGACGACGGGGTTGGGTTGGGGTAATTACTTCATTCTTATTGTTTGAGTTTAAAATGACATATGCCATCAAATATGTGTGTGTATGTGTTGCATGTGTTTATTTGATTCATCACTTTGACACATCATCAACAATTACATTATACACACTTATATATTTGGGTAATTGTAAAAAAAAGTGTTAAAATGACGAAATAGAACCTTATATAAAGTGTTTAAAATGAACAAAGTCTACTTAGAGTGTCTAAGTAAAAGTTAGTGTCAATTTTTCGGGGTTATCAATGGGTTAGGCCTAGCCTATAAATAGAGAAGTTTATCTATTCTTTTCCATGCATTTTAATTTTTTTAATTTAATTATGAATAGCCAGATAACTATATTTGATTTGTGTAAACACTAATTTTGGACACGTGCAATGCACGTGTATCCCATACTAATTTATATAGAATCATTAGAATTAATAAAATCTATTTTCTAATAGAACAAAGTTTTATAATTAATATAATGATATTAATTTTCTATTTTTCTTTTTTTTAGTGTTGCACTTAATTCTCATGTCCCACATGATGTTCACTGAGTCAAACAAATAACTTTGAAAATTTATCCAAATATAGATATTTTATCTCAAATATTGCCACATAACACATCTAGAGTTCCATTAAACCACTTTATGCCTATAAAAAGGAAAACTCCCAAGTGAAAAAAGTGGAAAGTTATTTTGGCTGAGAAGAACCAAAACAACTTTTCCAGCAAAGAAAAAGTTAGCCCAGAAAACCTAAAAAAAAAGAAAAAAAAGAGGCAAAACAGAGAGTTTTAGGAATTTTTCTTTAACAAAGGTGGTTGCCCCTCTCTTGTTTAGCCAATGATTTTTATTTTTATTTTCAGAAGCAACAACCCTTGGATTCATGTCAATTTCTTGGAATGACTGGATCATTGAAATGGCAATTATACATATATTCCAGAATTTTTTGGTAATATTTTTTTTTGGTGAGGGTGGAGAGGAGGATCTGGTGACTGGTGGGGTGAAGGAATGGTTGCGGTTGGAGTGGAGAGGAAAATCTGATGGCTGGTAGGGTGGAATAGTAGTAGGGGTTGGGGTTGGGGTGGGTGTGAGTGGAGAAGGAAACTGGGTCGGGTGGGGTGAAGAAGACGACGGGGGCTGGGGTAATTATTTTTTTCCTATTATTTGAGTTTAAAGTGACATATGTCATCAAATTTGTGGCTTTTTTTTTCTACTCAAAAGTCATTATTTGATTTTTTTTTGTGTGTGTGCGCGCGTGCGTGTGTGTGTGTGAGAGAGAGAGAGAGAGAGTGAGTGAGTGAGTGTGCGCGCGTGC